AGTTTGGTGATGGGCTGGGTGTTGCTGATGTTCAGTGTTTGATGTCCAGGTCTGTGTACGTTAGCAGCTGTGTCCCTGTATGCAACACAGGTCACCTATGAGTTCTTCAGTGCCAGCACCCCGATCAACGCAAGGTAGGAGTTGTACCCCAGCCTGAGGGGCACTCTTTGAATCCCAGCTTGTCCCCAACATACCTGCATGTTTTGTGGGTTTGGGCAAGGCGCCGGGCAGGCAGATGTGCTTGCAGCCAGGGCAGGATTGGGGCTGTGCCTGTGCTACCCTACAGTTGTGACACTACGAAAGTCCTTCCAGCACTTCCAGTCCTGGTTTTAAGCAGCTGAATAAGTTTTAATCTTAGTGCCACTGCTGACTTTACACTGAGACAGTGTAAGAGTGGTCGCGTGGGGTTTCAGCACATGGGAGGAAAAAAATGTGGGGGAAGATCCCAATAGCTGCAGAGAATCCTAAAAGCAAGATCAGGACAATGTGAAGCATGGGAGGGCTGGAGAGAAGGACACCCAGCGTCTGCCTCAACTGCTGCCAGCAGCCTCCTCGTGGCTTTGAGGGCCTGGGTGTCACTGAGGTCCCTGTTTCTCTTTGTACCTCTGCCTTTTGCATTCCCAGTCCTCCTTCCTGATGTCCCAGTCTCTCTTGCCACAGGTACGAATTCGGCTCAGCATTGTTCGTTGGCTGGGGGGCCGCCAGCCTCACCATACTGGGGGGCTCCCTCCTGTGCTGTTCCTGCCCCACCAAGGAGCGGCAAGGACAGCAGTACTATCGGCAGTCACAGCCCTCAACAGCTCGGGAGTACGTCTGATCCCTAACCCTGCTCTCCCTCTGCCACCGAACGCCTCCCTCCCTTCCCAAGAGCAGGCCAGACCCCGGTGCTCCCACCCGGCACGGCAGACGCCGCACGGTCCCTGGGCACCATGCGAGACCTTTCATCTGCTCCAGACACACCTATTTCTCAGGGGCTTTTCCAGCTTCCAGGTTACAGCACTGCATGAAGTGCAAACCTCTAGATTTTTATTTTTGTTCAGTTCCTGAATCCAGCACCGCCAGGCTCCCAAGAGGAGGTTGCATGTCCACCCCCAGCCCCGAGCTGCTGGGGCTGTGGGTGGTTGGGCCATGTCCCGTGGCGCTGGCCCCTGTGCCCCGTGCCACTTTGGCAGGTGCTGGTCCTGCGGGGGTGTGCAGCACAGAGGCGCTTTGTGTCGCAGCCCCCACGCCACATGCGGCTGTCCCTGTGTGCCTCAGTGTGTCTTGCAGCCTTGCCATCAGGAGCTAGTGCAGAGTTTTTCCCGGTTTTCCAGGGAAAAAGATGCTGTCAACCTGTGTTGGACTCAAGCAGCAGGAAGGTCACCCCAGGGCCTGATGCCCTTGTGCCCTGGCCTTGGGGTCTTAGGAAACATTCCTGCTTTCAGGGTGCAATTATTCCCTGCCTGACTGCTGCCCCAAAGCAACATTTTATTCATTAATTCTCGTTTTGAGCTCATGAGGAATTAGACACCACTCTGGCCACTGGCAGCCTGGCAGTTGCTGGTGCTCCAGCTGGGCTCTGTCACCTAAAATCTGACCTGGGCGCATTTTTCACCAGACACAAGTTCGTGGCCTTGTCAAGCAGAAGAACAAACTCTGGTATTGGTCAAATTAAAGCAGGCAAAAAAGGGGACTTTGAGCCACAAGCAGTGGTTTGTTTTTATTTTGGTGCCCAGAGCAGCTCTTTCAGGTAACTCAGAGATGGACAGACCTGTGAATTTTGATGTCTCCCTGCTGTTTCCAAATCCCCCTTCCCCAACAGGATCCCCTGGACAGGATTCCCTGGAGCGTGCAGTGAAGTCTTTAAGCTCAGGAGCACTAATTGCCACCACCTCTGTGTACTGCGTCTTGGCTGTTACTAACTGCTCTGAACCTCCATCACTCCAATTTCTTCTGTAAATCCCCCGAAGGCCCTGTACTGCCAGCTGTCCGTCTGTTGTGTGTGGTATGCCAGCTAAACCACAGGAAACCAAACGGTGGAAATGATCCAAAAAGTCTGTGTGGTTTCTTTTTGTGTTTCATTTTTAATTACTATTTTTTTAATCCCAATTACCCAAGTAGTTGATTTCTCCCTGCTTATTTTGCTTTATGCCTGTGTGCTGCTTTGGTTCCTGGCTAAATTTTGCCAGTTATCCCTTGTCTGCATCCCCACATTAAAGGATGGGCATCATCTCCTCGTGTCGGAGGGGAAGCCACGCGGTTTCTGCCCTGGGGTTGGTTTCTCTCTGGCAGGCAGGACTAACAGCCCTCTCTCTCTTTTGACTTGCAGACCCCATGTAAAAATATCTTCACCCGTCAGGGGAGAGCAGTGCTTGTAGTCTGTCTTCACCCATCGGGGAGAGCAGTGCTTGGTCAGCTGAACCCAGCTGATGGGTTTCCCCTCAAAAAATACACACCAAAGCTACTGCAGTGAGGACTGAAAAGGAAAATAATGCTTTACAAAAATAATAGCTGAAATATGTTTTTATATAAAGAGCACAGCATTGTGTAGAAGAATGTTTTTATTCTTTTAATATGAAATGACATTAACTTTTCTATGTGATGGACACAGTGGGAATGGCACTGTTCGGGATTTTAATTTTTTTTTTCCTAATTGTTTGTACTAAAAATTGTGACTCAGTAGAATTAAAGTCTTTCCAACTATGGGCATCTTTTTAAAGTTGTCTCGTTGTCCCCCGTCCAAATCTGGGCCACTTCTGAACAGTGCCATGCAAGCGACCACTCTGCCGGACTGTGGCAGCCTCCTGCATGGCGAGGTCTGGGCAGGGGCTTCCAGCAGCTGACCTCCCTGTGCCAAATATTTTTGCCTGTTGCTGGTTTTTGGAGCAGCACAGTGGCCAATGCCCTCCTTTTGGCATGTGGGGAGGCATCAGAAATAATTGGGGCTCATAATAGCTTGCCATAAAGACTTGAGCCATGCTAAGCGGAGCTTTTGCAGGTGCTCACAGGCAGGTGCTATCTCTCAAGCCCTTTGTCATGTGTCACCCTAAAAGTACAAAGCGTGGCATTGAAGACAGCTTAATTTAGCCTTAAACCCATGGGAAATCCCAGCTGTCCCATTCGGGGGGGCTGGCCCAGCACCTCAGCAGGGCCCTTCATGGCGTGAAAGCAGCATCCTCTGCTATCCCCTCTCACATGGGGGCTCCAGGCTGGGCTCTCCTTCCCTAAGAAGTCCTGTTCTTCAGCACAGTGCTAAAACACATGGGAAAAAAAATCTGGAAGAGGAGCCCTGCAAGTCTCTTTTGCAAGAATTCAGGGCTTGGTCATACCTCACTGGGCAATAGCCTGTCCTCTGCCATCCTCCCCTGTCCTGCCCATGGCAGCTGGCTCACAGATACACCCTGTAGTCCCCCAAAACAGAGATCTGGGGTCCCTGGTGACTCCTGTGACATCACCGGAGGCCTTGCGAGGGCTCAGCCCTGCGACTCCCTGGGAACAGACACATAGGCTGGAGGCGCATCAGAGAGGGGGGGAAAAAATAGCTGAGCTGCAGCAGCAATAACGTGTTTGTGGGCATAAAGGCCCCCACTGTCCTCCAGACAATCCCTTGTGTGTTTTGCACATGGCAAAGTGGAACAAAATATGGGAATGAGCTGCCAGACTTGCTATGATGGCCCACAGCTCCTCTTGCACTGCGTGGGATCTGCCTCCATCCAAATCACGCTGCAGAGGGTAAAAAGAGCAGTTTGGGGCTTCTTTTATCTTTATATTTGCTTCTTATATAACCAGTATGATGAACAGTAGTTAGGTTTCTGGTTCTACTTTTTGGTGGCTTGCTTGCTTCCAAAACACTGGGAAATAGTATTCATTTTATTCATTTTTCCATCTCCTGTCTGGAGGAAAACCTCTTTGGCTCTCTTTTTCTTCCATTTGTAGACATACAAGACTCCCTGCATGGCATGCTAAAACAGAAAGGCTCAGGCGCTCTGTCAGCAATATTTCTTATGCACCAGTTTTACAAACCAAGTAGGAAACCAGATCTGACCTTCATCCAGTCTTCACTCACCAGAGGAATTTAATTACTTATATTCTGATAGATTTGCCCCCTGCCTGTATCTTTTCATACCTCAAAAGATTTCAACTGAGAATCAAATCATGTCATACATAAAAAACTGACTGATTAAAAGAGCAAAAATAAAAGCCAGCATATTTTATAATATGATATAATAGAGGTGCTGCAACAAGATGCTTTGTAAGAAAGCAAGAGCAAAAGTAATTTTTCCAGGTAGTAAGGAATCAGTGAACAAACCTGCAGGTTTTGGGATAGCACGAGGCAGCTGAGGTACCTAGGCAGCACTTTCGAGTCTCAGCAAATAGCCCACAATAATGCATCTGGCTGACCAGGCACAGGTTACCTGACCTGTAACCACCAGGAAAGAGTGACGGCTGATAATGGCCCAGAGGTTTTACAGGATCCATTAAGTGAGGCTTTGTCCTTTAGAGCCTTTTCTTGCCTCCCTCCCTAAAGAGCTTTGAATTTGGGGGGGGGAGAAGGAATTGCAGTTCTGCTTGAACTGGCAAGTGCTTTGGTCTTGCTGCCTTTAGGCTAATCTCTCTGATTAGTTCAAAACCTATAACATCTTTGGGAGATGAGAAATACTGGACCATTTCACAGCTAGATACCTGATGGATAACACTAGTTTTCTTCTTCAATAGGAAAAAAAAAAAAAAAAAAAAAAAAAAAAAAAAAAGGGTCTTATTTATTGACTGCACGCCTGGCCAAAGGTTTGAATTATCCCCCTTGCAACAGACTGCATTTTTTGTCCTGCCACCTCTGACCCTGTTGCATCAGTACTGTGAAGCCAACATGTTTTAGGCCACTCATCCACGAGCAGTAATTAAAAGGCATGATTAAAGAACAGGGGATAATTGCCCAGGACACAAAGTCCCCCACCTGGGGAGTGTTTCTGCACAGCCCCAGCTGGTTCCCACAGGTGTCAAGATGTGGTATTTTTTGGAGGCCAACCTCTGTTCCCAGCCCATTACCATCATGCCTTGAGCACAAAGCATACCTGACGTGACCTGGGGAAACATTAAATAGCCCCGTGCAGGCATGGGCTTGCAGTGCAGCTGGGCTCTGTTGGGCATTGTGCTTCCTGGGCTCCATCAGGCACCTCTGGATGGGTCAGCATCAAATCCCACCGGTGCTCGAAAGCCTTCAGGACCCACCTGAGGATCCCTGAAGAGCTTTTGCTGTTGTCCCATGCCTGCAAGGAGGAGCCTGACCACCACACAATGAAGGTAAGGCTTCCCTAGCACCTCTTCATTGCTGAAAGGGTTCAGGGCTGAATTTAACCCCCCGCACTGCTTGCTGTGTGGGCTCTCCTCTCACCTCCATTGTGCCACCAAGCAGGTCAAGAGCTCAGAGCCTGTGGAGGACAAGGCACGATGCTGCCAGCTGGGGCTGGGAGGGGAAGGCACTTGTGGACATCCTGATCCCACCAGCAGAAAACACCTCTCCCAGAAGCCGTTTTGCAGCAAACCGTGCTGAGCAATGCTCCCCAAGCAGTACTGCTGCCGTTGCCTCTCCTGAAAGCTCTGCCTGTGCCAAAGCACTGCCAGGCAGCCCCAGCATGTATCTGGCTGGTGCCTGCTCCCACCTCACTACAGCCTGGCTCTCTTCAGCTTCTTCCAAAAGGAGAACAGGGCTGCTCAGCCCTGTCTGCTCTTGGTGATATGGAAAAGGCAGTAGGGACAGACAGATGGGTGGTGGGGCTCATGAGGAATTTACTCATGCTACACGATGAGTAAAGGTAGCAGCTGGTGAATGCACAAGTCACCCATCTATGTTGTGTCCCAGAGGAAGACAGGATGCTTCCCACATGCACATGCATGGACACATGCATACACCAGCTCTCCTTCGCCCTAAACATCATTATTTCCCCATAAAACACTTCCAAACAGAATGAAAACAGAATGAAGCTGGCAGCTCTACCACCTGCTGCACCAGCCAAGGTTCAGGCAGTAAAACTAAGCTGTTTTGGAGTTATCCAAGTGCAAACAATGACTGAGAGTTTCCTCCATGGAATATTTTTTTTCTTCCTTTTCACTTAACTCAAATAGCTGAACAGATTTTCTTCAAAGCCTGCAAAACAGTCAGGGTCTAATAGAAAGAAGAAAGGTTATGGGGAGTTAGCTCAGAAGGTGGCCTGGGAAATTAAAAAAGCATTGTAAATTGGGGTCTAAGAAGCTGCCTGTTAATAGCAGAGGGAAGCTGATGGAGATGTTCAAAGACAGTGTGAGTGGTACCTCCACTCCCAGAAGGTGTCCCAAGAGAGGATCTTGTGGGAGATTTTTCTCACTAGGCTCAGGGCACCATGCCCTGCTTCCTGGCCCTGCCCCTAGAGCAGGCAGTGTCTGCACAAAGGGCACAGACCCTACAATGGTGAACATCACCCCACAACATACATGGGGTCAGGGCTGCTTAACCCATGCAGCTCAGAGACCCATGTGATTTCATTAATAGTATATCTACTTAACAATTGCTCAGATGGGAGGGTCTGACAATGGTCACATGTTTGACAATAGCTTCCAAAGAACACTTAATTCCCAAAGGGGCAACACTAAGGGTTGGCAGCTGTAGGTGGTCTATGTGGAAGAGGTGACTGCAAAATGAACATACCCCAAAGGCCCTATCTACACGCAAAATTGGTGGTTCAGCCTCAGCCTAGGGTACCTGAGCACTTTGGAAGCACTGAGGACCATGGGATGGATTCCAGGTGTTATAGCATCATAGCATCAGCTAGGTTTGAAAAGACCTTCAAGATCACCAAGTGCAACCACCATCCTGAGCTACAGAGTCCTGTCAGTACACCACATCCTTTAGTGCCACCTCCACATGTCTCTTCACTGTCTCCAGGGATGGGGGCTCCATCACCTCCCTGGACAGCCCATCCCAACGCTTGACCACCCTCTCCATGAAGAAATTATTCCTAATATCCAATCTAAAACTCCCCCGGACAACTTGAGACCTTCCAAGCAGCTCTTAGGGATCCAGCACTCTGACCCAGGCAGCGTTTTGTCCTCTGAGGATCAGGTTCCTGGGAAGTGGCCAGAGCAGAGGCAGCAGACATCTCTGTGCCCTTGCAGGTGTCCCCATGATTGCAGTCTTGCAGATGATGGCGTTCGGTCTCACTCTCCTCTCATCTCTCTTCCTCCTCCTGGCCACATGCACTGACTGCTGGATGGTGAATGCTGATGACAGCTTGGAGGTGAGTAGAGCAGCTCTGATCATAGTTGAGAGCCATGGTTAGTGCCTTGATATCTGTGAGGTTGCATCATGTCTCCACGGGCCTGGAGGGGGAACATGGTGGGATAAGCCCACCACTTTCTGCGTGAGCTGGAGGACCAGGAAAATACTAGAGCAGAAGGAAGGGAGAGACAAAGAACAGGATATGGTGGTGAGAGCCTGAAGATCTGCCTTGCTGGGTTGGGATATTACCGAGGAGCAAGGGGGCTTTTGAGTGCTTTCTGCTTTGAGCATCTTTCTCCTGCTTCCAGGTGAGCCACAAATGCCGGGGGCTCTGGAGAGAATGTGTCACCAACATGCAGGATGGGGTCAGGACCTGTGACCAATATGACTCCATTTTGGCAGACCATCCAGGTAAACCAGCAGGGTCTGGAGGTGGAGGCGTTACTGTACATCATTAACCCTTTTCAAGCACGAGGCAAATGCTTTGCCTATTCCACCAAATCCCTTTAATCTCTCACGAATAGCCACAAAGGCACTTTAAGTTCTCAGCTAAAAGTATTCCCTTTGAGAAGATGACTCTCACTGTGAAGGGCTGACCTTTGTGTCTGAGCATTGCAGGCCTCTTGCCCCACCAGCATGGCCAGGACAGTAGCCCAAGGACCTGACACATCTGCTGAGCGAGGGCATGAAACTGTGCTGAGAGGCCAACACACCACAGAGGTGGTTTGGCCCAGCTCCAGCCTGCTCCACCATTTCCTGGCAGGATTTGCAACCCCCTCTCATCTTAGGAAAAGGAAATTTCTTTAGGAAAGGGGAGCCTGACATGAGTCAAAGCAGTTGTACTGAGTGGATGAAGGCATTCGAGGGAGGGTGGTGAGGGCCATTCCCACTGGCCAAGGCCTTGTGTCCTCAGTTCATGGACAGACACAGCATGGTAAGGCCTGCATGGGACACATCAGGCCCCGCACAGGAGAGCCCTTGTCCTTTGAAGAATGATAGTTTAGGACAGCACAGATTTGTACAGAGGAGAAGGGGAAGTTAGCATGGACTATGTGTGGCTTTTTGTGTTGCTCTGGGGAAAAAGCTTTGCAGGGAGAAGTCATATCACACACACAGTGATGTGAAGGTCTCAAGGAAACGACCATATCCCAGATGCTGACTGGTGCACCTTAAGTTGCTTGGTTTGTTGAGCTGAGCTGATAACAGGCTGATTAAGTCCTGTTGCAGGGTTTCTGATGAGCACCCTGGCTGTAGTACATACATGGTGAGTGGCACATAGGGCTGGGGGAATATCCTAGTGTCAGCATCTCCTACAGATATGCCCAGCAGCAAGCTGGGTGACTCTAGCAGGGCCACAAGCAGCAGCTGGGGAGGGGGGAGGCAGATCCTCTGATCATTCCTCAGTCCCCTGTCTGTTTTTTTTTTTTCTCCCCAGTGAAGATTGTGGTGACACGGACGCTGCTGATCACAGCAGACCTCCTGGTGGGCCTGGCCTTGGCAACTTTGCTCCTTGGGCTCGACTGCATCAAGTTCCTCAAGGAAGATCCTCATGCGAAACTGAGGATGTGCTATGGGGCTGGTGTCATCCTTGGCATTGGAAGTGCGTGGCTGGGAGTGCTCAGGGGGCAGCTGGACCTTATGGCCCATGGGGAGCTAAAGGCAACCTCAGAGGGGCCCTGGAATTGTATGGCTCTTCCTTAACTGGCCCTATTCCTCATAGGCATCCTGGGCCTGGTGGGCTCCGTGTGGTATGCAGTGGATGTCTACATGGAGAGGGCCATGCTGGTGTCACACAATGTATTCCTGGGAGTCCACTATGACTTCGGGTGGTCTTGCTGGCTGGGGATGGCTGGCTCAACAGGCTGCTTCATAGCATCCATCCTGCTGACCTGCTGCCTCTACGCTTGTTCAGGTCAGTCCATATTGCCCGGGGTTGCCCCATCCCACAACAGGGGGCTTCTTGTCCTGCATGGCCCCTATGTCACATCCCTGACTCTCTCCTGCAAGGCCCCAGTGCCCGCCAGCAGTCCCTGAGGTTCCCCCAGCGTCAAATTGTCACCAGCAAGATGTACACCATGGACTCCCGCGTGTGATGGGCAGCAGCATCTCCCTGCACCCAGTCCATTGCATGATGCTCACCCCAAGTCTGACCCCATTAAAGCACCATCATCTACTCCAGGACATCTCCGCAACTGCTCTATGACTCCAATTTCAGGGCTCCAGGCAGGGCCTGAACACATCAGCAGCTGCAAAAAGTGGGCATGCTGCAGAAGCAAGTCACAGAAAGAGAAGCTTTACTGCCAATTCCAGCCACATTTATTCAAAAATAAAACCTAGAAAAGTGGTGGTTTATGAAAAGAGGCTCCTCACTGACGCCAGAAAAGAGAGAAGGAGGTCTCTGCAGGGGTGGGGGAAAGCTTAACATCCCTCCCAATTTAATTCCTTATTTCCCCATCATAACATGAGGGGAGCAGTTCAGGACCTTTCCAGATCACACAGCTCAACTCAGTACCTCATATGACCCCATATGAAACCTGGGTCCTAAGTTCCTGCTTCCCCCTGCATGCAACAGCACCCCAGCTCCTGCCACCCCAAAGCCCCTTGGGGAGCTCTCACCACCTTGAGGGTGACAGAAGCAAAGCAGCTCCTGGTCACTGCCCCAGTGCTGCTTTGGAGGAGGTGAGTAAAAAGCCTCAACTGCGTGGAGCAACACTGACTCCATGTGGCTGCTGGCCCTGATGATGCAGCAGCCTGCTTTAAGCTGCCCCTGCACTCAGAAATTTGGTAGCATACATGCCATTTAGAAGCTGGGTAAAGCCAGTAGCCTGGAGCATTCAATAATGTTATCATGGGGTTATCATTAGAGTAACTCCACAACCACACACAGAGGCAATTTGAAAACTAGTGGAGGTGCTCTTCATGCAGAGCTGGGTACTGAAGTCCATGCAAAAAGAATTCTGTTTTCCATATGAATTACCCTTCTTCACTCACAAAACACTTTGAAAGTAAGCGTGAACCCCCAAAATACCCTCTCCCCCATTGGCTGTGATTAAAATCTCCCCATTTCAAGCTCAGCTCCTCTGCTCGACAGCCAAAGGTGATGTGCAATCCAGGAAAAGCCTCACTTCCTGCCCATATGACAGCACCACACTGCCTGCTTCTTCCTCTATGAGGATGCTGGAGCCCTCTGCTCCTTGGGGGAAAGTTCATCTCTAACTGCAAAGGTGAGCCTGGAGAGAAAAGTCACTCCTCCCTGCTCTGCTCAGTCTTTGTCCTATCCCTTACTTCTTAGCCAACGATCAGCAGACAAACCATATGGCAGTGAAAGGAGGTTGGACCAGGTCTGCGGTCCAAAGAACTGGTAGCTTACAGGAGACACCTCCACTGCTCTAAGGGACACAGACAACCAGCAGCATGTTAAAAGGCATTTAGAGACACAGCATTGGGTTCTTAATGGGTGGCACTTGAGCACATAGGAAAGCAATTAAAAAGAGCAAGCATTTGCATGATAAAAGCAGAGAGCTCATTAGTGCATAGAAAGGAAAAAGCTACAGTTCCCATTCAAAGCTGTGAGACAACTCGGACGCCACTGGGTGCTCCTCACTAGCAGCTTTGCATTCATCACCAGTAAATTTATTACAAGCACACAGCACTGCTCTGCAGGACCAAGTGAGCCACATCTGGGCTAAGAAACAGCTCTGGATTTCCAGCAGGCCCCGAGCAGCCCTGACTCACACACACACCTGGCTTGCTCCAAGGTCTAATCAGAGGAGCCAGCTTCTCTGTGAAGCACAGCTCAAGTTTCCGTGCTCACTGAACCCCAGCACAAGAGCAACTCAGTCACAGCAGAGAAGCATGTCACCACCTGGACCTGCCTGTGGGAAGCACAGCCTAGGAGCTCCGACATCTGCTTGTCAGAAGCTCACACTGAGCAGAGCATGAGTTAAATCAAACCCATGCACACTTGAGATTGCTCTCCCCTTTTGGAAGGGAAGCTCAGCTTCAAACCCAGCTGGAGACCTATGTTTTCCTCTGGTTTGCCCTAGGTTCCCTCCCCACACAGCAGTTAAGGGGGCAGCAACTTTTGCAGTGACTCACCTTTGAAGACATCACATCCACATCCTAGTAAGTCAGGAGCAACAGCGCTTTGCATCATACCAGATGATAAGTTCCCTCCCTTCCCAAAAGGGCTCCCACATCACCTCTTTTCTGCAGTGGTCATATTCCATTGAGGACATAGCTGAGCTTCTCCAGCAAACAGCTTTTGGAAACACACTTGGATGACACCAAGCACCTCCCCTCATCATCCTCTGGCCTTTCCGTCGAGTTGTATCAGGATATAATTACACCATTTTCAGAAGTTTGTGACTGACCATCCTTACAAAGCTGGCAAGTGTCCAATTTGAGACTACCTTCCTCAAGGAGACTGATGACAAAACTTAATTCAGCAGGAGGAAGAAACCTTTCAGCTACCCATGGCCTTGGAGAGGTGGAAGCAAAGGCTCAAAGAGGTCTCACTTAACAAGAGAAACAGATTTCAGTCTCTGCATTTAACTCACCAGTTTCACAAACTGGAATTTTTACAGAGAAACTCCCATCATATAACACCTGCTGCTTAAGGTGTCAGCAACCCTCCAGTTGTTACGCCAGGGCACCAGCACTAACTTACGACCACTTGCACTGCACCCAGGGGTGTCTAGCACAAGCCAGGGCCCTTCCACCCACTGCAGCCTATGGGAAGGGTGTGAGGCAACAGCAGCCTCCCACTGAGCAGCCAGCCCTGCACCAAGAGCTGTCATCTCTCTGAGCCCTCAGTCCCAGGCTGTGACTTTCACAGAGCTGCTAAGCTCACGTGCAACAAGAGGCTCTGTAGACCTCTCAGTCTGTTTTACCACAACAGCCTGAATGAGGAAGCATGTTACAAACCCAAACTCCCTTGCAGTAAGGCAAGGAATAGACAGGCAGCCAGAAGCAGGCTCCAGGAAGTCAAGCACAGGAAACAAGCATCTTAGGGTCACACAGATTTCACTTAGGTTTCACTGAGGAGAGCTGAGGGCACTTAAAATTGAAAAGTGCACGAGTTCCAACATAGTTTTGATAGATATCCAAATACATCATGCTGAAAAAAATAAAGCAGTCTTTTTCAAAGCCTCTTATGAATGCTTAACTTACATGCTTTCCATACAAAAGTGGGTTTGAAACAACCAAGCACACACTAATTCTTTAAGACCTTTATTAACAGATGCTTGCAGTTTGACTTGAAAAAATTAGGTGTACATTTCATACAAATTAAAAATGAGGTTCTTAAAAATCTCAACTTGACCAGATATGAAACAATTTAAAAACCTTTAAAGGTGTATTGAGAAAAAACAGACTTTTAAAAAACGTGTTTATCGTTTCCAAAAGGAGACTTCTTTAGGTAAAAATAATAAAAACCCCATGCTGCATAGATAATGCAGATAGTTCTAGTAATCTGGTCAACAGCAAAAAGCAAGCACTTAAGGTCTTCAGTTCCAATTCTTTTGTTCATTTCTTATTGCTGGAATTTCATTTTCTTTTCTTCTTCATTTCTTAGGTCTTTTCTTTGATGACTAAACTGAAAGAAAAAAGGGACAGGTATAATCAGATATAAATGTTTTGTCTACCAAGACTCACCTGCAATTTAAATTCACACTGAGCTTTCATACACACAGAATAATCTTTATCAGCTACAGCTCTTAAATTAGTCCGGCACATCAGCCCACTTTCCAGTGATCAAAACTGCCAGCTTCTATGCAAAATAAGTGCAAAGAATTCCAGGAGAGAAAAAAATGAACAGAACGTAATTCTATCTACACCTCTCCCTGCACTGGCCTCCTGCTTCAGACTCTTTCACGACAGCCTCTTGGAGAATGCTCCTCAGACCAGGCACTGCAGACACACAGAACTCTATCATACACTCGTCTGGAAACAAAGCTGGTAAACTCTGAGGAAACTCCTGGGAAGTCAGGAGAACAACTTAAGATCCGCAAAAGATGGCTGAACAGCAAACCTCCACCTATGCCCAACAGAAGTAGAACAGCTTCACTATGCACCAGAAATCACAATTTATATTCCCCAATACTACCAAATAGATAGAAAAATAGATAGAAAAAGCAAAATAAAGCATTGTGGTTTTTCTTTCCTTGAAGCCTGCTAGTTAAGGAATTCATTCAGCTTGCCTCAACCATTAAGATTAACAGCAGGATAATACAAAGGCTCATGTCAGGCACACAGAAAATGCTGCAGCAAGACATGAAGAGGTATAAAATAAGTTATTTGTACAACAAATTCAGCAGCATCCAAGCCCTTGAAGTAGTTGGAGAGGTCTGTAGCTACTACTGACACCAAACTACTGCTCCTGCATTCCCTGTTCTTCCCAGTAATGTAACCATTCATTAACATTCTCACCAGGATCTAAATAAGTCTGAATGCTGGCCTTCAAAGGCAGAAGAGCAATGAGTGAAACAACAGGAATGGGATATGAACTCTGGTTAACAAAGGAAATACAGAAGAGGAAGAACAGACAAGGAAGGTGCCAGAAACAAAGCAGAAGATAGAACAAGTAAACTGTTCTGGCAGTGAAAATCCCCAAATTAGCAAGTGAATCCCATCAGAAGACAGCACCAAGCTAGCATCAAATCACAACTAGCTTACTTTGCGATGAAGGCAATGTTTTTAATATTGACCTTAACACCAAGCCACACCAGTACTTCTGTCTAGGAAAGTGAAGCCTCCAGCTGAATGTAACATCAACCACGGATACAACTGCTGCCAGCATTTTTGTTCAGATAAAAAGCCACTACCAAGTTATTCCTGCACATTCTACATTAACTTATTAGAAATGAATCCCTAGATATCTTAATGCCATCCAAATGCCCTTTGGGACATAGCAGTAAAAGCCAACATGCTTACAGTCTCAAGTAAATCCTAGTACCTCTGCATACCTGTTTCTCCTAGCAGGATACTTACAGCTCACTATACCAACATCACTTGAACTACTATTTCTGGGTGAATGAAAACTGTCATAAGCCTGGGTTACTGACTATAGCCAAGATTTTAAGATTAGCAATACTCTAGGCAATCATTCCACCAGTGAAAATCAGAGCTTTGTAACTGAGTCCTCTCAATTAACCATCATTTAGACAGCAAAATCTCACAGCTCAGTTCTGCAGAACTTGGTAAGTGCACTAAGTGTGGCCAGCTCAGTTACAATACACATTAGCAAAAATAGTTCAAATCTCTCAAGGCAAAAATTAAGAGGAAAGCATCCAAAGAAAAAGGTCAGCCATCAGATCATATCCTCAAAAACATCCTGGCACGCACCCGGATGATGGTAGAGATGGTAAGCCGGTATTTACTCAGCCCCGCCCTGCTCGGCCTCGGGAGCGGACGTGTTCTCAGCTGGTGGTTCGGCTGTCTTCGTCTCTTTGCCATCTTGTGGTTTAGGGTTCTCTGGGCGTCTGCGTCTGTAGTTGAAGTTACGACGGTACCGACGTTGAGGTGGCTGCTGACTTTGGGTCTCATCCCCTTGGTTCTCTTTATCTTCCTCATTTCCATCCTCTCTGGGCTGTCTTTGACGAGGAGGACCCCTGAAAGTCAAGCTAGGCTTTAACAATGCAGCATCTGACCATCGCGATGTTCTGTCTGTGTTGCTAAAGCTCAAGGTAAAAGAAAAAGAGTTGATCTGCAGCATACCTGCGAAATCGTGGTCTATACCCTCGATACATGTTCTGCCTGACTGGTCTGCCTTGTTCTCCTGCACCCTGGTTGTCAGCACCCTGGAAGACATTAGGCAACAAACCATCTTAGCCACATGCAAAATCATCACCACCACAACTAGCCAAACCATGGAGAGCCTGCTGTAAGCCAGGAGGGCTGACCGCTGACGTCTGAAGCATACAATAAGGTGGATAGTGGTCCCAGTGCATACAAGTATGCACTATGCAGAATTTATTATTTTTCCAGTTAATTATACAGAAAGTTAACACTAATTTGAACACACTGCTTTTCAAGAGTAGTGACTAAGACCTCCAGCATACTACTACCTGCTCAAGCATTTCATCTTACTGCTAAGCCTTATG